GGTAGCTCTATTTTCAACTTTTTGAAGAACCTCCATACAGTTTTCCAGAGTGGCTGCACCAGCTTGCATTCCCACCAACAGTGTAGGAGGGTAAGGTGATAGGAATTTATCTTCTATTAATAAATGCTATTCACATATAACACAATAGTAAACTTCATTAGATTGGAATAATGAGTTTGGGGAGGTAGGGAGGAAAAGGGAGAAGCTAGCTTAAATTATGGAAGTCAGAATTTATTGAAAGCAATGCAGTTTTATTACTTTCAATACTATAACCTGCCAGTAAAGTCTGTCTAAGGAGACATCTACTTAATGACATGGATCCTTACTTTATAGTTGAATCTTTTTGCCTAAAGACCACTGTATATGCAAAAGCCATGAAAACAGTTATTCTCTTTAAATAAGTTAGAGATGTTCCCTTTATTTCTGTTATCAAATTCATTTCTTGCAGACAATTTAAAGGCAAATTTCACCTTAGTCTGGGTCAAATGGTCAAAAACTGTGTATTAGCAATATTGGAATTAATGAGGTTTTATTATATTCATAAAGGAACGCATTTCTGGGAAAAACAGTCCAATGTCCCAGGGAAGTGTAAGATGCTTTAAAAATAAAAACAGGGAAAATGTAAACTTTTTCAAATAAGATGAACTTAAGCTAGATAAAACTGAAATCTATCTTCAAAGTCTTTGGTTTCCTTTGTAAATTCCTTGGGGCAAGGATGATGGTTTCCTTGCTTCTCTTCCCCACCTCCCAGGACAATACACCCCAACAATGGCACCTTGGCTTTGCTTTCTGGTGACAGTTATTATGACTCTAAGAACAGGTGTTTAAAAGTGACACAATGGGGTTTTCAGATATTCCAATTGTTGCTCTGCTTATCTATAGCTACCCGAGATTCAAACATAAGTAAAGTTGACTCACTGATTCTGGCTACAGGCTGTAGGTAATTTACTGGCTCCCATCCTGGAAAAGAAGAGAAAGGGGATTCATATATGACCATTATCTCCAAATATATTTAAAATCTTTCTACATAAAGATGCCTCAATGCCTCTAGTATTTTATTTCTAGCAAAGAAAATCATGAAGTGTGGGGGCAAAGGGTCATGAAATAGAATATTTCACCCCTGCGTTTCGGGGCAACTGAAGACGTGACAGGCTTGGTGTCACTTATCAGGAAACAGGGCATTACCTTCAGACTATGCCATAGAAAAGATTGAGTCTTGTGCCTGTATTCCCTCCTTCAGCAAAATGGAGCTGGAGACTGGGGGGGTAGGTGGAGCTGGACTATGTCCACTGAAGGGAAGAAAATTTCCCTGGATTCTTTGCATTCTACTTCATTATGTGTCAGTATGCTAATATCCAATTATATTTCCTGCTTAGAATCTTTGTGTAAATCTTTGTTTATATCCAATTATATTTTCTGCTTAGATTCTTTGAGTCCTTGGGACAGACTTCTTTGAACAAAATTGATATTCGGAATAGATACGCTATGTGCATCTCCTGGCGTGGAGTATCCATGGCTCACTGTTGGATATCTTGATCTGTGAAGCTTGGAAGAGTAAATGAACTAAAATCTAGGATGAAAGAAAAAAGGCTCTTTGAGGGAAATGATCCCATGGATATTAAATCATCCAGAACTAATGTTCGTTTATTCTGTAGTAAAGAGCCCTGAGAAAGAAACCTTTGAGTTTTCCTTGAGCCAATGATTCTTCATCCTGATAATCAAGAAGGACCTCTTTCTGCCAGATGAAGTTGCTAAATGTAACATAATAAATTCCTTCTGGCTTAGTCATCTATAGGGAGAGGAGAGCCTCAACTGATTCAGAAAACAATTCCAGGGAGCTGCAAGATGGAACTTATATGACTCTTTATTTTTATTTTTTTTAAAAGATTTTATTTATTTATTTGACAGAGAGAGAGATAGTGAGAGCAGGAACACAAGCAGGGGGAGTGGGAGAGGGAGAAGCTGGCTTCCTGCTGAGCAGAGAGCCCGATGTGGGACTCGATCCCAGGACCCTGGGATCATGACCTGAGCCGAAGGCAGACGCTTAACGACTGAGCCACCCAGGTGCCCTTATATGACTCTTTAGATTTCCGCTTTCTAGATTACATAGTTCCAATTCTTCCCTTAAATAACACATTACACATACATAATAGATGATACATATTATATACTGTATGCCATGCCACATTTTTATATAATATGTAATTTTGATGTTATATAATAATTTTACAAAAATATTAAATATTACATGCCAAACCATATATTTATATATTATATATATTACATGCCAAACTATATATTAATATATATCCTATATTAAGTACAGGTATACATAATGTTTTGCTCTCTGTATGCTGTCTTTTTTAAAATAGCCCTTTCAAAGTATGTTGAGAAAAACTTGAGCAAGTACTTAAAAATGGTGAGGCTTAAGTGGTGAAAGGAGTAATTCTGTTTGCTATCCTGTGCCTTTTAAATAACCTGCTATCAGTGTAACTCATTTATGATCCTCATTTTCTAATCCTAATTGTGACAAAGGTCCTATTATTGGCATTGCCTTTTTAACCAATCCCTCACTAAGTTACATTTGTGCTAAAATATACAGTTTATACATATGTCAATTAAATGCGGTTCTGCCTTTAGAATGACTTAAAAAATATATCCAAGGGCATTCTAATTGTATTGTCATGAGTCTCCTGGTATAAAGTATCAGTAGCTCCACTTGATTTAGAAATTTCTGCATTTTGGATGAACGCATTTATAAGTCATTTGTATAGTTCATCAATAAGTTATAGGTCCTACAGTACAACTGATCCCCATGGGCTGGAACTTGATAATCCATGCTTCAACCCATTTTGATGTAATTGCAACTCTATATTTACTTGTTCGCCCATGTAACAGTAGTGTGATTAAGATCACACTTTCATGGCTTGGTGATAAGAATATCTTCCCCATACAAAACTGATTTTACTCAGTACATTCTCATTATTTATATAATCTGTTACATAACCATGGGAGGAAATTGAATTGATGTGGAAAAAATGGCTATTCAAAAAGTCAAAATGTGGCTGCTCCTTTCTCTCTCATTATATTCTGTTAAGTTGCTTATTGATTGCATGAGGAATTGTTCTCATTGCTTTTAAGCTCTGGCTTATAATGATCAAGTCATTTCCTTAAAATATGTGAACACAACAGGCCCTTTTCCCCATCTCCTCAATCACTCAAATATAAAGGTTGTGCAGTCATCTGCCAATTTCTTTTATTCCTTTTTTATGTATTGTGGTAAAAAACAGACAACAGGATACGTATCCTCTTAACACATTTTAAAATGTACAGTACAGTATTGTTGACTCTAACACACAATGTAATATACCAGATGTCTAGAACTTGTTCATCCTACATGACTGAAACTCTATACCCATCGAACACTAACTCCCAGTTCCCTTCTCCCTTTCCCAGCCCCAGGAAACTACAGTATGCTAATTTCTTAAGGGTCTCAGGAAACCTGACCTTAGGGCATAATAATGAGGTACAGTCAGGGATTGGATACTCTTCCCTGGTCTAGTTTGGCTCTCCACACATCACAGACTGAAGTATAGTAGGTGAATGCATGTCTCTGACACTTTACAGTAAATTTGCTTAACACAGGAAGGATCCAGTCTTACTAATCCTCTTTATAACTTCCCTGAACCTAGCTTTGTGTCATGTATAAATATGTATTGAATTAAATTAAATTATAAAATTTCTTTTTCAGGTAAAAAAAATTTTTTTTAAGATTTTATTTATTTGACAGAGAGAGAGAGAGCGAGAGAGCACAAGCCGGGGGAGTGGCAGAGGCAGAGGGAGAAGCAGACTGATGCTGTGACGCAGGGCTTGATCCCAGGACCTTGGAATCATGACCTGGGCCAAAGGCAAATGCTTAACCGACTGAGCCACCCAGGTACCCCTAAAAATTTCTTCTGATAAAAAGGATGAAAAGTAAATTACTGCTTATTTGTTTTATTTTAAGTTATTAATTTATTTTAAGTTAATGAATTGTCTCATAAAGAAAAGCATCCTCCCTCACCATTCAATAATAGTAATAGTGTGTAGAGCTCTGAAAGGCTTTGACAATATCTTCTAAATCACTGCTATTCCTGTATATATTTTTAATGTAATGACTACCTCGGATGTTGGGCTCAGTCCATACAATCAATATAGACTGACTTCCTTGCTACATGATCAGATATGAAATAACTATGGGTGTTCTTCCATAGTCAGCTGTGAAGATGACTTTAAACGTCAGCATTCAGGCTTGTTTCACATAGCGGAAATTAATTGGGTTTTGGCCACAGCCCTTAAAATTAAAAAGGGTTTAAACCTCATATTCAGTGTACATGTTCTTATATTGTGCTTATAAGATTGATTACGATATTAAAGGCTTAATTTAGTGGTACAGGCAATCTAATGAAACAGGATCTTTCCCGTCACCCCATGATTTTCTTTTGAATCATTTTTGGTTTTGGTAGAAAAGCACGTTTCACCTGTTGAAACTTGGCATAAGCATCATACTCAGAGACTAGGCCTAGAGCTTTGATGGGAAATCAGTTAAAAAAAAAATAGCATTTCACCGATCCTTTTCCTCAGGGTTTGAGAGCTCCATGCATTATAAATAGCACACTGAGCCAAACAGGGCTCACACTCAAGTGAGAGAACACAAATACGACCACAATGCACTTTTCTCAAAGTAATTCCTCTGGCCACGGTGAGAAAACTAATCGTGTTGTTTACCATCATCCTTGCCTAACAGAGAATACAAAGATAGGAGAGGCTGGACAGTTTCCTAAGACTGTGTGGCAATTTGTTGTTAAAACTGAAATAGGGTTACCTTTCATGAATGAATCAGCTTTTTTTCCCCTTCAGCTCAACCTTTCAGAAATGCAATTATCAATAACCTCCGTTTTACATACTGGTATTCTGATACAAAAGTGATCACAGTGAAGCTCAGGTTCTTTGCTGTCTAACATTTTATTGCTGGATTTGAGTTTATCACAATATTTTTTAAAAATTTTATTTTATTATGTTATGTTAATCTCCATACATCATTAATTTTTGCTGTAGTGTTCCATGATTCATTGTTTGCATATAACACCCAGTGCTCCATGCAGA